AAATGTTGCACCAATAGTCCCTCTGTGTCAAATTTAAGAATGTGTTATTCACATGCTCATCAATATACTTGTTAGAGCTTGATGAAGATGTTATAAATTGATGAAGAGGTTGATCGATTGATGACAAGCTTTGTCGATTGATGTCCGGCCTTTGAATTCGGTTACCAATGACTAAATTGAGAATAATTATCTAGGTTTTAAAGAGGTTAAAATTATAGAAGATAATGTTTGAGAAGAGAGCATATTGCATATATGTCTTTAGATGAATCCATACATGCACTGGATGAACGTGTGAACAAAAGTATAACACACTCCCAAATATGGCGTAGAATAATTTTTAAAGTTCAAGGGGCATTAGTATAATTTTTAAAGTTTAGTGGGAATCGTGTAACTTTTAAAACTTTCAGAGGTAAATGATGCAAAAAACTCTTAAAAAAGATAAGAAGAGTTCTTTGGCATAGAGAGAAATACATACACAAAAAGAAAAAACTAAGATGGTATAAATTTAAGAAAAAGTTTATTCCATATACTCTAAATGAAGGGCTTGTTCTCTTCACCTCAAAACGATTCTGATCAGATTAGTTCTACATAAATTCTACGGAGTATTTTTATCTTTTAAGTCATCTTTAATAAATTTGGATTACAAATTATGAAAGAAAAATGTATTTAGTTCCAATATAAAATTAATATAATTGGATTACCAAATCACATATAATTTTGTTAAAATAAGTTAAAATTGAGTGAAATTAAATGCAATTAGATAAAATTTGAGTGAAATTAAATACAATTCAAAGCACATGTTTGGACACCTATGCAATATTGCATGAGAAGGGGTGATAAAAATATTTTTAATCATGCTTTAGTTTGTATAAATTTTAACTAACATTTTTATGTAAGTTAATGTTTATTTTACCAATTTATAAATAAAAATAAACATATGAAATTTTACATTTTTTTAGATATGGTAATTCATTTTGGACATAGGAAGTAATTAATATAAGTGTATACGGTGGGGTTCTAGTGACACCCATGTTTGGTGACACTAGCGGTGCCACTGTCATTTTGGGGCACTTCCGGTGTTCCGTTCGTAAAATTGACGGTTCCTATCCCCCTAACCCAGCTCCTAAACCCCCCACCCTACCCCCACCCCTACACCCCCACCCCAACCCCGCCGTAAGCCACCCACAGAATATGTGGCTATTATGCAATGCATAATAGTCACACATTTTGTGGGGGCTTACAGCGGGGTTGGGGTGGGAGTGCAGGAGCGAGGGATAGGGTGGGGGCTTAGGGGGGGTTTAAGGTCAGAAGCCGATAAAATGTTCATATGGTAAAATAAAAATTTGAAATCAAATGTAAGTATTCACTAATGTATATAAACATAATATGTTTATTGTCAGGCAAAATCAATTTTGGATATAATCAGTTTCGGATCTTATCGGTGTCAAGTTTTATCGGTTTCAGATCTTACCGATTTCGGGTCTTATCAATTTTGGATTTAACCGATTTTGGATCTAATTGGTTTCGATTTTTAAACCGGGTATAGATATCTTTAGTTCAGTTTCGGTTTGGATTATTTCGGTTATTCAATTATAAATCGGATCTTCATTTTTCAGATCATTTCGATTTCAATTTTGGGTCATTCAGTTCGGATAGTCGGTTCCAGGTCTGTTTTGCCTAGTCAATACGCAGCATGATTCCTATGTTTAAAACATAGTCCGGCTGTTTTCGGATGACAAATGATAAGCATTGAAAACATTGACTAACTACTACTTCGATCACTATATATAAAGGAAGCGCAAACATTGTAAATAGTCATTTTGTTTTTTTACATCATACTTGAAAACTAAAAAATAATCCATCTTTGGTTCCATGAGAGATGATGGAAATCTTTTTGAAAGGGAATGTATGGTTGAAAACACTTCTCTCGCTTTTAAACAAATTCTAACCAATAATTTTCCACTATTCAATATAATATCCTTTTAACATTTTTTTTTAAAAAACTCAGCACATTCAAAGTGAGCAAATTAATTTTGAACATAGAGAGTACGTAGTTGTAATTGAAGTTTAATTTATCTATCGATCACTTGCGCATAAATTAAATCAATAAGAGTGTTTTTGAGAAATGAACTTGAGACCACTATAGATCATATCAACAAGATTGTGATACTACACGCAAGAATTGAATCCGAGTTGAAGCTAAAAAGATGTTTTATGCTCTAACACTTTATGACATCCATCATGAAGCTAAGCAAAGGTAAGAATATGATGTTTGTACAAGATAAGTAAGCAAAGGAATGTAGAGCTAGCTAGTGATGATGTGTATTGATGGAGCTACAAGTTGCATATATGGCTGAAATGAATTGGATGAACTGTAGAAAAGTAAAAACATGTCTGGCAATGAGGACAATAATTCTCTGAGAATACTGAGGTGTAAATTTGTTTTGGTTTCCTTGGACTTTCCCTACGTTCCTCGGATGCTAACCTTTTAGTATTTTCTTTGAATAGCATGGCATGGGGTTTTTAGGTTGTGTACGTATACCACATATAAATGTCCAACGCCCACCCCGGGTGCCCCCCACCTCGGCCCGACATGATAGTGAAGGAGTACATTATAGTATAGTCTTAATCTGGCTCGGTCTTGTGCCCGGTGAACACAAATACTCCCTCCGTCCCTAAATATTCACAACATTTGTTTTTTCAGCAGTCGCGGGAACTTTTGTTTATTTTGACGTTTTCATTGGTTATTTGATAAAATAAAATATTCTTTACACCTCATATTTCGAAGAACTTTTCATGTAGTTTTTTTATATGTAAATTTTATTTTTTATTTCTATACCAATATGTAAATAAAATGAATTGAAAAAACTTAATATTTTGCCTCGGGAATACAAATGTGGCAAATAATTTGGGACGGAGGAAGTAATAGAACTGTACTGCCGTGATTTGATCTCAGGATCTATGAGCTTGATATCCTCTTCTTGAAGTGATTGAACAGGAGCTATACCACCTATAAATGAGTGTGAACAAATTAGTGGGTTCGAAAATGTCGAGTGTCTTGTCACTTGTCAGCAGCAGCAAGCTAAAGCCACCACTTTGTGATTGAAATTCTTTCCATTGATGATTCAGAAGTTATTAGAGTAGTTTTGATGGATTATGCTATGTGTACCCCAATTTGTACCCCGCAGTTTTGCACCAACACTTTGTGTTGGTGTAAAACTAATTTTTGTTAAACGTACCAACATTTGTGTCCGTATGAATTTTTATCAACGCACCAACACGTGTGTCGGTGTAAACCATCGAAATGTTTGTGCAAACCTGTGGTGTACAAATGGGGTATATTTTTTGGTGTAAGTGTAGCATGGTCCAGTTTTGATTGATCGGTTTTGGATGATTGGATAGAGGACGACGCGCAATGATGATGATGATTAGTGAAGCTCTCAAAGCCGCCCTAAACCGTGTGAAATGTTAGGTCAAATATAGTGTGTAAATTCAATAATATAAAGAAAAAGTAGCTTAAGAAAAGCTTATGCCAATGAGACGGTATATATCATACGCACTAATGTATGTATATGATACATTCGGATGTATCAGAAGTAAGGTAAAACTAGGTAGTACTCATTTTGAAGTAAGTAGTTAAATTTTATCCGATAATCTATTCGTTTTTTCTTGGCTCACTGAAATCTTAACATGATAATTGATACCGGAGCAGGTCCAGATTGGATTTTATTTTTCCTGGTTATTAGACGTGGGTTTAGCGAAAAAAAGCTACCCGTCCGTGGTTTTGTTTATTTGCATATTTTTGTTGATTATTTGATAAAATAATATAAAATATTCTTGTCATCTCTTGTTTCGTAGAGCTTTTGATGAAAGTTTTAAATACGTATTTTTTATTTTTTTTATCGACATAGCAATTTGTAAATAAAATAATTTTAAAATATGAAAGATTTTGCCTTGTAAATCCCAATTTGTAATGAAATTTGGGACAGAGGGAGTATATACTCATTTCGTCCCAAAGTGTTTTACACTTTACGCAAAAAGAATGAAACAAATTCATTTTATTTAAAGATTGATATAGAATTTAAAAATAAAACTTACATTTTTAAACACTACGTTAAAAGTTCTACAAAATAAGAGACGATAAAAATATTTTATTCTATCAAACAATCAATCAAAACACACAAATAAACAAAAGTTCTGTGACTTTTGAATAGTGTAATTTTATAGAACAAAGGTAGTATGTATATTATTTATAGGGGCCTGTTCAAGTGATAATGGTTTCTTACTGCGAGAAATAAGAATGGTCTATTGTTGTATTTTCGAGCCGCCGTGATGCATTTTATATTTGTAACAGTGCATTTTCTGCATTGGCAAAAAAGTATTTATTTACAAATTAAAACTGCCACCATGATTTTTCATTTTTTCCAGCTTTTTTATTTTTTATATATCTTGATGTGTATTTTTAAATTTTAATATCATCAAAATATCTATCACATTTCAAACAACATGTAAAATTTAATCTGTTTTAAAATTATTTTATTTTCAAAATTGGTAGAAAAATAAAAATAATAAATTACATTGTTCAAAAGTACATTAAAAGGGTGTACAAAACAATATGAGACAAAAATATTTTATACTCCATCTGTCTCTAAATAAACTTCCCTTTTTAACTTTTTTGAGGATTTAAGGGAGGGATATTTTGTGTTGACTTTCTAAAAATACCCTTAATGTGATGTGTAAAAGTAAGATGTAATATGTAGATTATTAGTAAAAAGGTATGATGTGACAGGTAGGATATGAACAAGTGAGAGGTAAAAGAGGTTTTTAAGGGAAAAGAGAAGTTTATTTGGGGATAAAGAAAAAACGAAAGGAGAAATTTATTTGGAGACAAAAAGAGTATTATCAAATGATTATCAGTGAAAATGTGTAAACAAATACTCCTCCGTCCCGGAGTATTCGTCCAGTTTTGACTTTTGGAACTGTTCATCTAAGTACTTTCACTCATCAAATTCTCTCAATGTGTAAGTCTAAATATAGTCATGTGTGATCTTGTTTGATTTGTCTTAACATATAGATTATTAATATATAATTTCTATAATTTTTTAATATACAAATTACAAGATAAAATGGATTAAAGAAGTGTATTGGATGGTGTATAAAAATGAAAGTGGACAAATACTCTGGAACGGAGGTAGTAGAAATTATTGAAAAACCAAAATAGTAACGGTATCATTCAATATGCATAGAAGTAAATCTCAATGTGCATTTATTTTGAATTTGCTAATAAAATGTGACATGGCAAGAGATAAATAAAGAATTTAAACTATAATAATATTAAACAAAGAAACTATAATAATGGCAAGAGATAAAAAGAAAGAAACCATATGTCTCAGGATCCAAAATTAACAAAAAAAAGAGCTTTCGTTCAACGAAAAAAGAATGGATTGGAGCTTTCCCCAAACAAGCCGCCTCCAAATCCAAAATTAACCACAAAAAAAAAAACCGAGCCTTCATTCTTAATTCGATTCACTAATCACCACAGTAAATTGCTCCTGAATAAAAGCTGATTTCCTAGCTACAATTCGATTTTTCTTTCCAAGTTTCAAGTATTGTTTCCTTCCTAAAATTTGTTGAACGACTTCAATTGGTAATAATTTATTGATATAATTTTTTCAGAATTTTAATTTGTATTTCTATTGATTTGATCGAACAAAATACAAAACTTAAGACAAAATCAACATCTTTGTTGGGAATCATTAACATATTTGGTGACACTATCAACACCATTCCGTTTCTTTGGTTTCGAAAATAGATGAAGGTTTATGCATTACAGGAATTGATGCTAATTCATCAAAAAGACTCAATCAATATTTCGTATTCGGGATAGAATCGGAATGTCATAAAATCTCATACAAAATCAATTCAATACGATATCTCTACGAATTAAAACACATCTCATTCCATACATTTCTAAAAATGGATGAGCCACAACTCCCATGATCGCTCAGAAGAGGCTGGAAGGTCACTTGACATGAGATATAGCTATTGTGATCTGTGATTCCATTACTGATCTCTCTTTCTATTAATGCAGTACTCCAAGGGTCTTTTTCTTCCATTACATAATATGGCTTGGGTTATTGGTGATTTTTTTAAATATGTGTTGTTGCTTTGGTTTATGCTCTGTTTTGGCTACCAACTGTTGGATGTCAGCTAGTAAGCGATACTTGTTTGTGTAACGATTTCAGAAAAAGTGTGGTGCAATGAGCTTTGTTTGGCAGATTTATGTAAAAATCTGTGTTACCAGAAAGCTTGAATTGTCAACCAACTTTATGGAACCAAGATAATATGGAGTAGTTATTATTCTTTTTTTTTTTGCCCATCATTTCATAATGTCCTTGTGTTTTGTGATCATTTTAGTGTGTCGAGGTTTATTGTGACTGTCTTATGTTCTTTCAGGCGTATATGTTAAGAACTCTTAACCGCATATATTCACAAGAGCGTTTCATTTGGTTAAGCTCACTTCATAGCTCTAATTTGTAAAAATGTACTCCGTACAAACTATACTTTGTATTAAGCAAACGAAGAAACTTGCAACATCATTTTCATCAATGTTTTAGCGTTGATCACACTAATTTGTAGCTTGAATATCTGTATTCGTAAGTTAGTTTGCTAAACCTATTTCACTTTCTGTCTTCTTCTGATAAGTCTAATCTCCCTTTTGGCTTAAAATGAACTTTTCACTTTCCTTTTTGGGTTGTTGCCAAATAAACTTTACATTCCTTTTAAGGGAAGCATTGAATGGGTTACAATGTTATTTTCTCTGCTCTGCACAAATCTCAACTACACAATTCTACTTTTTCTTAAACTCCATGAAAAAGCAAATAAAAAGTTTAATTTAGAATGGAATGAATAATTTTTTTTCTAAAACAGACATTTAACATAAAACATGAAATGTTATCAGAGTAACCCCTTGAGATTTTTTCACGCACAAGCTAAGTGTTGATTTTTCATATATCTGTTCAGTCATTTGCCATCTTTTTCATTTGTGTTAAGAAACATTTTTACATTGTTTTATGCAGAGACTTGTCTTTCATCAATATTGTGGTCTGCTGTAAGTACTTAGACATCGTTTAAATTTCTTTTTTGAATTTTTATCTCACTCTGTTCAGCAGGGGCGGACCCACATTGGGTCACATGGGTCAAGCGACCCCACGGAAATTTAAATTTTTTTAGTATATATATAAGTATATATATATATATATACATATTTTTTAGTGTATACCGAGATTTAGTATATACTCCGGGTATTCTACAAAACGCTACAGTTACCGACTTGCCAGCGCTGAAGGAGGGGAAAGCTCCGTGCTCTTTTTGCGGGTGGGAGGTTCTGTGTTCGAATCCAGGTGTTGGGGGGTGACTATACATTTTAATTTGTGGAAGATTCATATCTAAAATGATCTCTTTTTTTCTTCGATTTCCTCTTAAACAATTAAACATATAGTTCAACCCATCCCACTTCGACACTTTCCCAGACCTAATTGCAAAATCGGAAGTTGAGACTGACCCCTCCTCTCACCGACGGCCGACTACAAACCTCCGCCGGACCGCCGACCGCCGCTTGGAAGTTGGAACCAACGAGGACCCCCAAGGCCCCAATTAGGGTCTGTTCCGTAGGCCTGATCTGATTGAGTCTGATCTGAATTTTTGAAGTTCTGATCTGATCTGATTGGGTCTGATCTGATCTGATTGGATCTGATCTGATTGGGTCTGATCTGATCTGATTGGATCTGATCTGATCTGATCTGATTGAATCTGATCTGATCTGATTTTATCTAATTAGGTCTAGTGTAAATGAATTTAAATTTGATTTAAATGAAACTTAAAATTATTACTCCCTCCGTCCCAATTTAAATCGCCTGTTTTGATTTTTAGGCATATTTAAGGAAAATAAAAAATAGAGTTAATTTTTCGAAATTGTCATTACTTTTAGAAGGGGTGATGGTGGATGAGAAGATAATGTTTAAACTTTTTTTAAAAATATTAAACATTATTTCAATATCACAACTTTTTTAATTTTCGTGAAAACTTAATAATCGGTATTAAAATAACCAAATATTAGAAAATATTGATGTTATTCTACAAAAATATCACATTCTATATGCATATTACATAATAATATATTTCATGTTACAGATTAAAGATCATATAAAATTTTAAACACTAATATCCCTTCACCTGTATCAATTTTGTCATGAACTCACCCTTGTGTATATTATATCATCTTAAAGTTTAAAAAAAGTCTTTTTAAGTATAAAATATATATGGTTTTGAAAACTAAGTTTTTGTATAATTATTTTTATAAACAAGTATTTTGAAATAATTCTTTTTAAAGTATGAAAAATACAACTTTATAACTTTAACATTGCTTCCATGCATTATTTCTATCCTACAAGCCAAGCAATTATTAAAATAGAAGTTTGTAGTTGGAATATAATAATAATAATAATAATAATATAACAACAATAATAATTAAAATTATAATATTAATTAAGATTTTAGTGTGTGTAGTTTTAAATAAAGTAATATATTTTAATCAAATAATAGTAATTATTATTTAATACTTGAAAAATATAAATATTATTTTTATATTTTTTTCTTGATTTGATATTATTGGGTTTAATCTGGTCTGATCTGATTGGATCTGGTCTGATCTGATTGGATCTGATCTGATCTGATTAGATCTGGTCTGATCTGATTAGATCTGATCTGGTCTGATTGAGTCTGATCTGATCTGATTGAATCTGATCTGATCTGATCTGATTAGGTCTGGTCTGGTCTGATCTGATCTGATTTTAATAAGAATAAGTAATAAGTAGAAAAAATAAGTCCTACGGAACGGACCCTTACTCGAACAAAGCTTCTCTTTGCTAGGTTTTTTGTCTTACACAATTGAATCTAGTTATCTAAATTGATTATTTATTTTTTATTTATAAATTGTGAAAATTTTAGTTAATTGTTGTAAATTTGTTATTGTGAATAGCAAAATAGGGAATTAAATTCGTTTATTTATTTTGTAAGATTGTGATTTGTGAATACGTTAATATAATTAGGTTATGTACTTATGTTTTAAGTTTATAATTTTTTGAATCATTTAAATTGCAATATATGATGCAAATGTATTTTAAAAAGGCACCCAAGATTTAAAGAGAAAGAATCGAGTGAGAATCCATCAAATTTGAACGAAAATGTTTCGTCATCTTTAAATCATCCACCAGAAACATCAAATTTGAATCCAAATATATCATCATCTTTGGATATGACATATCAGCATGTTTACACACTCATAAGGTTAGCTTTGCTTCTACCAGTAGCAACTGCTAGTGTTGAGCGTGCTTTTTTCAGCCATGGAGTTTGTGAAGAATGAGGTTCGAAACAACATTTGTGACCAATGATTAAATGATTGTCTAGTGACATATATTGAAAGAGATGTCTTTGCTACTATTAGCAATGATAAAGTAATAAATCACTTTCAAAATATGAAAACTGGACGTTATCAATTGTAAGATATATTTCACATTTGCAATGTAGAACTATTTTTAATTAGTATTTTCAATAATATATACTCCCTCCGTCCGCAAATAAACTTTATGTTCACTATTCACAGGGTCAAACTTTATTCACTTTGTTGGCGTATTTTCGTCACCCATTTGATAAAATAATATAGTCATGTCACTTCTAGTTTTGTAGATCTTTTGATATAGTTTTTTAATATGTAATTTTTATTTTTCAATTCTACACCATTTTTCATATAAAATAATTTGAAAATAACATCAGTCAAACATCGTAACGCGCAATGTAAAGTTTATTTGTGGACGGAGGAAGTATAAACTTTAATATTATGTATTATAGAATATTGTTTATTTACTATTAGAAGCGTGATGGTTGGATATAATTTTTTTAAATTGCGACCCCACGGTATAAATGCTCTGGGTCCGCCCCTGCTGTTCAGAAAGAGTTGGGCTGTGACTCTATAGTCTATAGCATGATACTAAAAGTTTTTCAATTCAATGCCTTGTTCATGCTGCTCCAAATTAATGTTTTCCCACTATACTGTTAAATATGTTAAGCATATTTGTTATATATGTTTAGTATATTCCTTGTATCAATTATAATATATACCATAATTGTATAGGATCCATATATAATATTATTTCCTTATTGTAAACCCCTCCACTTTGTATATAAAGGGAGGTAGAACCATTGTATTAATCAGAGAAAATAACAATTCTTCATGGTATCAAAGCCAACTCTCGGCTAACCCCGAAACCTTCTCCTTCCCGGCGTTGCTTTCTCTGCCGCCACGTTTCTTTCTCTCTCTCACGGCACCTTCTTCCCGCCGACAGCCCCTCACACCACTCTCTCTCTAAAACAACCCCCACCACTCTTCTCTATGGCTTCGGAAAAATCAAACACCCCCCATCTTGCTTTTACAACAATCTCTAACATTAAACTCCAGGTTCCTATTACCCTCAGTTTATCGGAGCCAAACTATAAAAAATGGAGCCGCCTTTTCCTTCTTTTGGTTCGGCGTTTCAACCTTGAAGGCTTTCTCACCGGTGAGAAAACTTCAACCGGAAAAGATGACGTCGAATGGCTCCAACTAGACGCCCTTATTCAGGGGTGGATTCTCTCCACCGTCAACGACGAGGTATCGGATCTCATCATCTCTTCCACCACATCCGCTGCAGATCTTTGGAAATCGATTCATAACCTGTTTCACGTTAACAAGGCGGCAAGAGCCATGCAATTGGAGCAACAATTCTTCAACACCGTCAAAGGAACATCTATAATTGCTACATATTGTCAGACGCTTCGAAATATTGCCGATTGGCTTGATGATGTCGATGCCCCGGTCTCCGAGAATCAACTTGTCTTGCAAACCCTACGTGGCCTCCCGGAGGATCTAAGCAATCAAGCATCGTTCTTACAGTTTCAAAAACCCCCGCCCACGTTCATGGAGACCCGATCAGCCCTCCTTCTTCTTGAGGGACAGCGGCGACCTGCCGCCGGCGAGGGGAGCACAGCGCTGGCAGCACACGGCGGAGGAGGCCCTCGCGGCCCGGGCTTCGGTGGTCATGGCGGACAGCATCTTGGACTCAGCAGCGGCAGTAATGGACCACCCCAGGCGTATGGCGGACGGGGACAATCGCACGGTGGCCGCGGTGGACGACCGACTCGCGGTCGAGGTCAAGGACGAAACGGCGGAACTCCCTCTCGGCACTTCCCTGGGCAGGTCTCTCCTTGGCAGATTACTTATCCATCTCACTAATGGGCTGGACTTTTGGGCCCACGCCCCAACCAAACCCAAACCCCACCCCAAGCCTATTACACTCAACCTACCTTTTCTCCTTACTCAACCCATTTAACCCCCAATCCTTTTAGCCCACAAAACCCATTCAACCCACAAACCCAGCCCATATACCCCTCACCCTCCCAGCCCATGTACCCACCACCCACCCACCCGTCTGCCCCCTACCCGACACCCGCCCCTCCCCCCACCCCCACTGCCCTAGCCCATCAATTTGACACAATGACCCTCTAGGAACCCACATGGCTCATGGACACCGGTGCATCCCATCATATTGCCTCCGACCCAGGTACTATTTCCCATGTTTATTCAAAAAGTTTAAATTCACCACCTTTTATCACTGTAGGTAATGGATCTAAAGTGCGCGCCACGGCGGTTGGTAAACACATTTTCCCCACCTCCCCACCCTTATCTCTTCATAATGTCCTTATTTCCCCCCACATCATCCACAACCTTATCTCAGTTCGTCAGTTTACTCGTGATAACAATTGTACTATTGAATTTGACTCTACTGGTTTTTCTGTGAAGGATCCTCGAACGGGCAACGTGATTCATCGCTCCAATGACAACGGCCCCCTCTACCCCCTGCGCCCGCACGTCCCAGTTGCTCAAGCACACGTTGCCTCTGTTGACACCCAGACGTGGCATCGTCGTCTTGGCCATCCTAGCCCAGCTGTTTTCCATGCCATTCCTCCTTTATCTGTTTTACATAATAAACATTTTTACGACAAATTATGTCATGCTTGTCAGTTAGGGAAACATGTGCGTCTCCCTTTTACTTCTTCTAGTCGTACTTCAACTTTTTCCATTTCAACTTATGCATACTGATTTATGGCAGTCGCCCGTACCTAGCATTACTGGTTTTAAACATTATATGCTTCTTCTTGATGATTTTTCTCATTACTTATGGGTCTTTCCCTTACGTCACAAATCTGATGTTTTTTCTCAATTAACCCAGTTTATGGCTTATGTGAAAAATCATTTTAATGCAACTATTAAAAATGTACAATGTGACAATGGAACAGAATACCGCAACACCCCTCTTCAAACCGTCTTTAACTCCTTAGGCATTTTTTTCCGCTTCTCTTGTCCCCACACAAGCCAACAAAATGGACGTGCCGAACGTACAATTCGAACCCTCAACAACACAATTCGCACCTTGCTCTTTCAAGCCCAACTACCCCCTGAATATTGGGTCGAGGCACTTCATATGGCCTGCCATCTTTTTAACCTTTTACCCACCACCACTATCCAAAAACGTACTCCTCACGAGATACTTTTTCAGACCCCACCCTCCTATGATCATCTCCGTGTCTTTGGCTGTCTCTGCTATCCAAACATCTCCGCCACTGCCCCCCATAAATTATCTCCCTAGTCCACTCGGTGTATTTTCCTTGGCTATCCTTCCAACCAACGTGGTTTTCGATGCCTTGATCTAACTACCCACAAAATCATAATCTCCCGCCATGTCACTTTTGACGAATCCACCTTTCCTTTTGCACACCCCACCACACCATTAGACCTTAACTTCCTTGACACCATGGATGACACAATTCCCCATACTTTACACCAATTATCACAAACCCCGCCAGCCCACCCACCCGTCACCCACCCTATCCCGGTTACTACCGCAGCCCAGCCTGCAACCCCTCTCCCTTCCAGCTCTCGGCCCACCCGCCTTCTCCCGAAC